TCTCATTTGTCTCATTCCAGGTGCTCTTCTAAGTACTTTTAAAGCATGGCTTTTAATCATCACCATCACCCTACTAAAAAGTGCTACTATTTCATAAGGGAGGCTCTTGAGGAAGAGAAAAAGGTTAATAACTTTACCAAAATCATATTTCTAACTAAAATTCAACCCACCAGGGAGCCTGGTTAGAATCCACGCTTTGAATGGCAAAGCTACATTGCTTCGCAAACCTTCAAGTGGTTTGCATATCTGTCTCTTAGACTCTGTGCAGATTGATGGGTCTAATGCAATGATTCCTAGCAGCCAAGAACTGTCTGAAAAATCTCTTCGTGGCAGGAGTAAATCTCTCWTTGACTCCACAGACCCAATTTCCARCATCAGAGTTCACTGACAAATATTTGTTAAATTAGACTGGCTTATCCTACATCTGGAAACCCCCAGTCACTTTGGCTTCTATAACATTATGTATTTCTAKCTTTCTTCCTGCATCTCTGGCTTCTCTTGAACACTCCTTTCCTCTTCCAGTCACTTATATGGAATGTCTTTCTAGAACCCCCTCCATAGTGTTCAGGTACGTCAGTGATCACCTACCTACATGCTGATGTTTCACAAATGTGGATTTGCGTATTTCACTCCTAAGATTCCAACTCACGAGGTCAAACTTCTGCTAGAGTCGAATGTTTCATATGCACTCAAAATCAATCATTCCAAAATTGAATTCATCTTTGTGCCCTCTGGCCACTTCCAAAACTGTCTCTCTGTTGCAGGGGACAGATGAGGCAAGATACCAAATAGGAACCGGAAGCAGATTTTTATTTGGCTATTGCCTGGCTCAGAGGACAAAGCTTTTGCTGTAATCCATCAATTCCCCTGAACCCTGAGTTCAGGTAGTTTCAGAACTTTATACTCAGCGTGTAATGGGAGGTGCTGAGAAGTAYACAGTGTGCAGAAGTTCACCCAAAAGCAGCTTTTTCTTTCACTGTTCAGGGTAAGTTCACCCTTCAAGGACAGCACCTGAGAAGGGGAAAGCTTCTTCTTCCCTTTCTTTCCTCCCCCTGCCAGCTGTTAGCATGGAGCCCAGTTGGTAACTTCTCTTATCTTACACTTATGTAGACATCTCTGTGAAGCCCCAGCTCAAGGCCAGAGGCCTGGTTAAAGGATTTGTCTTTTTTTTTTTTTAAATCACATTTTACATTTGCAAACACGTTCTACAAGCTACTGTACTGGATAAATGTYTGTGAAAAACTAGTAAAGGGGCATTTAGCATCTAGAGTGCTGATTTCTTCCAGGCTAGTGTCCAAGTAAAATAAAGCAATAGGAAAATAGGGAGTTTACTTACATTGAACTCTTTTGTAGAGACTGTTTTGCTGATAGTCTTAAAATCAATTATGGTGAAGATTTCTGGAGAAGCTTAGTGAAGATTCTCTGTGGAGGAAGGGATACTACTTCATCACCTCTGCTTATTTTCCCAGCTAGTGATACCATGATCTGAAATGCTATCCAAGCTAGGGAACTGAGATTCTTTTTGACGTATCTCACCCTTATTTCCTTTACCCAATCATTCACAAAATCCCATTGAGTCTATATTTTTATTTATTTATTTATATTTTTGGTATCAGGGATTGAACCTAGGGGTGCTTAACCACTGAACCACATCTGAGACCTTTTTTAATTTYTTATCTTGCTAGGTTGTTTAGGCCTCGCTAAGTTGCTGACAATAACTTTGAACTTGTGATCTTCCTGCCTCAGTCTCCAGAGCCACTGGGATTACAGGCATGTGCMGCCACACTAGAGAGTCTACATTTTAAATGCCTCTTAAACCTACCCACTTTCTTCATCCCTCTGGCCTTCAATGAGGCCACCTTTGACTCACCCTCGAGTTAGAGCATCTGGTGAGGACCAGCTGAATATAATTTCCTCTATCAGAGTGGGGCATAGAGCTGCTTCTTCCCTCTCATCCTCACTTATCCTTTTACTTCATACAGAGTACCTCCAACATTTTTTACAACTTCAGTATTCTGTTACCTCTCTTGTTCCCACTGTTTCTTGCTTCTTGCATTATGTCCTTCTCCCTTTCCCATCCCAACTTATCTAATTCCTATCATCCATCAGGCCTGGGTGTTACATCACCACATTATGGTTGTTCCACTTCTCTGTATTCCCACAATGCACTGAATTTCTCTATCATAGAACTTATCACCTTGTACTGCAATTGTTTTTACTATTAGTAAGAAAAGGGAAACAGACTGAAGTGCCATTTCACTTTGTTCATTTATTCTTAATATGAGTTCATTTATCCTTGAGGCAATAGCCAATGAGGGGTCAAGCCAGAAGCTTGGTCATGCTCAGTTCCACAATCATTCAGAAACCCAGGCTGCTGATGGCTCTGTCACCCTTAACTTGTAACTTCTCAGCCACCCTTATAATATCTGCATAATACACAAGGAAAGATCAAGAAGGATCGTTTGAAGATTTCATAGGCCAGGTCTTGAAATGACAGCCATCACTCCATCCCATTCCATTGATTAGGACTTGGCACATGGCAACCTGTAACTGCATGGTAGGGTAGGAGATAGTTTGTGTCAACAGGAGGAGAAATAGGCTTGATGTTCAGACAGTGGTCTACTGCATTCACCTTTATTCTCACTAAAATATAAACTCCATGAARTCAAGTGAAGTTTCTCTTGCTCTTCACTTTTTCCCCAGTGCTACTGGTACAAAATAGGCATTCAGTAAGTATTTGATGGTTAAATGAAGTTATGCATATCACTATGCATATCTTGCCTAATTTTTTTGTCCCATCCTTATGTTGACTGGCCCATTTCAATTGCCCATGTGGCATCTTCTGAGGCAATTCCTAACACATCTCCCCATGTTTGACTGTCTTCCTGAAGCCATGGTGCAGGACGCCTCTCTTTGAAGTCCATTGGCAGGCTGCATTGCAGAAGTGATTATTGTGATCATCTCTGGCTATGAATTATTTTTAGATGCAAAGACTGCAATGTAAGTTTATTTAYCACATATTGTTTCCAGAGGTTTCATTGCCTATATTCTTATAAAACATATACTTACCCAAAATTGAGGAACTTGAGAAGCTAGAATGCTAATKGCACCGTAAAGGTATTATTACAGATATTATACATGTTATGCAGCGTTTTTATAAGTACACAGGGGAAATTATTAATTATAATAGAAAAAATAATTATTTTTCCTGMACAATTTACTTACTCTATGATGTCCATCAATTATATAACATACACTTTTATTTCTTAGCATTTTCTACTAGAAAATTCAGACCAAATATGAGAGTACATCAACCAAAAGTAAAGACTTCAAGAATTGCAATGTGGACATTATTACCCTAGGTACATGTATGACTGCATATATGGTATGATGCTACATTGTGTACAATCAGAGAAACGAAAAGTTGTGCTGAAATTGTATGAGTCAAAATGCATTCTGCTGTCATATATACCTAATTAAAATAAATAAATGTATTTTTTWAAAAAAGATTTGCTAAAGGAAGTTAGCCAATCCCCCAAAAAACAAATGCCGAATGTTTTCTCTGATATAAGGTGACTGACAAATAATGGGGTAGGGAAGGGGAGCATGAGAGGAATAGATGAACTCTAGATAGGGCAGAGAGGTGTGAGGGAAAGGGAGGGGACAGTGGATTAGCAATGATGCTGGAATGTGATAGACATCATTATCCAAAGTACATGTATGAAGACATGAATTGGTGTGAACATACTTTATATACAGAGATATGAAAAATTGTTCTATATATGTAATAAGAATTGTAATGCATTTTGCTGTCATGTATTTAAAAAATAAAATCAATTAAATATTTTTTAAAAAGAATTGCAATTTGGCTGGGTATGGTAGTGCACACCTTTATTCCCAGCAACTTCGGAGGCTGAAGTGAGAGGATTGAAAGTTTGAGGCCCATCTCTGAAACTTAGACCCTCAGCAAATTAGCAAAATCCTGTCTCAAAATTAAAAAAAAAAAAAAATGAACAAGGCTGGAATGTAGCTCAGTAGTGGAATGCCCTTGGATTCAATCCCCAGTAATCCCCGCCTGCTCGCTCCAAAGAAAGGAATCACATTTTATGTACTTTCCACAGTCAGGTTTCAACAGGGATCAACATATTTTTCTAGCGATATTTCTGTTGTCTTTCCTTTTTATTTACTGTTTTATCTATTTATAATGCATATTTATGTAAACCATCTTAATGTTTTGGAACAAAAGAGAAATACATATAAAACATATTTAAAAACTTGTCTTCTAAGCAGACATAAACATGAGTTCAAYAGCATGTGGTGTGGTGGGGTACTTTTCTTTCTCTTTAATCTACCTTGCTTCTTCACTTCCAGAGATATTTTAAAGTAAATATGAACGATTCTCATTTCTCAGGGGAAATAAGAAGGAATAGAATGAAAATRATAGATTTTAAAGATGGGAGGTGAATTTTCAAACCAAAAATTGAAATAAATATTTTCACATACTAAATATGGTTTCATATTTATTATGAAAATTCACTATAAGGAAGTTTCATGAGGACAGGAACCTTAGCTTCATTTTTTTTAATATTTATTTTTTAGTTATAGGTGGACACAATATCTTTATTTTACTTTATATGGTGCTGAGGATTGAACTAGGCAACTTGCATGCTAGGCAAGCACTCTCCTCTGATCCACACCCCCAGCCCCTTAGCTTCATTTTTATTGCCAGATCCCCAGGCTGAAGCAATATATTTTTGAAGTCTGAACATAATACATTTGTGCTTAGGATAACTGGGTCAATAACAAAGAAATGATATATTAACCACAAGCACCCACTCTTTGGGATTCTGTTTCATCATTTATAAAATGAGGCAATTAGACTGTATCTAATAAGATTCTTTCCGATTTCAATACTTCATACTCCTGTTAAATCTACTGGCATAGTTAAACATGTGGATGCAAATACCTGTAACAATTTGGGGATTTTGTTTTCAAAATAGGATATCCAGCTACATTTTCAGTGATCCTCGTGGATGGGAGTACATTGACATCACGTGCCACCCCTCAAAGTGAGTACAGCAAGGCTGTCTTYTACGCCTCCCAGACAATACACAGGATTCATTAAAGCTTCTATAGTGCTGAGTTTGTATACTTTATATATACATATATTTGGTACCAGGGATTGAACCCAGGGATGTTCAACCACTGAGCCACATCCCCAGTCCTATTTTGTATTTTATTTAGAGACAGGGTCCCACTGAGTTGCTTAGCACCTTGCCATTGCTGAAGCTGGCTTTGTACTCACAATCTTCCTGCCTCAGCCTCCCAAACTGCTGGGATTACAGGTGTGTACCACTGCACCTGGCAAAAGGCTTTTTCATTTGATATTGATATTTTGGCTGATTTTGAGTTACTCAGCAGTGACTRTCAATTGATAAGACAATTCCTGTAATGTTAAAAAAAATAAGAGTTAACAATTTGTTATTGTGTTGTGCTTTTATTCCATGAGGATTTTAAGGCAATATTAAAGTAATCTTCACAACACTCCCAGTGATCGGAGTTGGTGACAGGAACAGAAAAAGAAAGCAAATCAGTAACAAGTTGGCATTAAACATAAACTACAGTGCTTCTACTTAATAACAGCTAGTATTTCTGCATAGAGAGGCACATTCTCAATTTTATATTTCCCCAAAGTCCCATAGATTAAAAATTCAGCACATCAAAGAAAAGTTAGATTACAGCTTTATTAAAAAGTTGATTTCTGAAAATAACTTTGTCTTTCAGCCAGAAATTCCAATGTGACTACCCAAGGCTTCAACTCCTCCTCAACCTCCAGCGGGATAGACGCCGAAAAATGTTGAGTATAACCATGAGTCCCTTGGAATCCTCTAGACCTCTTCCATTCACCCGACACATATCTTAAACAACTACTATAGGCTTTGTTCGTAATCATATTCGTAAATATTTACAAAGCATCTACCATATTTAAAGCATTGTTGTAGCTGCTGGGAATATACCAGTGAACAAAACAGAGCTAAGCGCCACATTCTGTTGGGGAGAGGCAAACAGTAATAAATGATACGGAGAAGACCAAGCTGTGCAGTGATACTGGGTGAGGGGAGGCGTYCCTTATGAAAGGGGAGATCTTACAGAGGAAGTTGATATCTGAGCAAAGACATGACCAATTGAGGCCAACAGAGCAAGCTCTGTGTGTTCGTGAAGAAAGAGCAAACTGTTCAAAATGTGCACATCACCAATTAAAATGAAAGGAGGGAGCCCAGTCCATTAACCAAGCCAACGAGCAGGAGGTCTGCAGGAGCTACTTGAGCGGGTATTGATGCAAAGGAAATAGACTGCCTCTTGGTGGTGTAACACAAAGTTCATATAGTGGGGAAGTGGAAAGAATGGTGACTGGAGCAGAGGAGATAGGACACCAGATGCCTCAGGTGAAGAATTTACTCACATGGAGMGTAGGTGTGTGTGTCCTCTTGGAGAGCACTTAAGCTGTACATCTGAAACCTTCAGAARTCTTTCAGATTCACTGGCTCAGTCATTTCACTGTTGAGAATTTGCTCTTAGGAAATAAGAAGAGCARAGGAACATGTGTAATACTGCTCTTTGTAGCTTTGTTTATCTCTTTGATGGACCCTGGGCTCATAGATTTGGGTTAATCACAATCTTTAATTCATGAAACACTTAGTCAGTGCAGGACCCTTTATAATTTAATATATTTCTTTTTTAAAAATATATTAATAAGATAATAGATATCTATGAACTAAGTGCCCAACTACAAGAAACGAGAAGGCAGCATTCAGAAGGGAGAGCACAGAAAGAGATTCACAAATAAACAGAATTTAGATGTTGTGTCAAAGATGGCACAGCAAATTAACTGTGCAAAAGAAGGCATTGTCCAGCCAAAGGACGCTAAAAGGCATTAAAATGCACACTATACAAAAATTAACTGCGTGGAGTTAAAGATATTTATGTCTAAAGAAAAACATTAAAATATGTAATAAAATAAAGACCAACTTCTTCTGTACAGAAGGGYTTAATGAAGAGACACAAAGGACTAACCACACAAAAGCCTAAAAAGTTAGAATAGCATTAAGAAACCCAGGTTTATCAAAATGTATCTTTTTTTTTTTTTTTAGCACTAAGGATTGAAACCAGCGCCTTGCTGGTATAGCAAGTGCTTTGTCACTGAGCTCCATACACAGACCATTTTTTAAAAAGTTTGTTTTGAGACAGAATCTCATTACTTGCCCAGGCTGACCTCAAACTGACCTCTAATTTGGCAGTCTTCATGCCCCTGTCTCCCAACTAGCTAGGATTGTAAATGTGCACCACTATGCCCAGCTTTATCAAAAGTTATCTTAAACTTTAAAAAGCAAAATTAAGCTCTAGCTGGGGAGTGCATGCCTATAATCCCAACAGCTCAAAAGGCTGAGGCAGGACGTCCTGATCATGAGTTCAAAGCCAACCTCAGCAACTTAGCAAGGCCCTAAGCAACTCAGCAAGACCCTCTCTAAATAAAATATTAAAAAGGGCTGGGAATGTGGCTCAGTGGTTCAATCTCCAGTACAAAAAGAAAAAAAGCAAGCTCTAATCTGATAGAAAATATTCACCACAAATCTTTATGTCAATGTTTAGAAATCAATAACTCAAAAAGACAAAAGTTAATATGAAATGAACAAAAAGTTTTATCCCAAACATGAAACACAAGTGGCTAGAAACATTTACCTAAATTCTCAACCTCTCTAGAAATTAAGAAACAAATAAAAACTGAAACAACAACAACCAAAAACATTTTACACATAATCCATTGACAAAAAATGGAGTCTGGATTGCCAACTGCTGTTTTATAAATATGATTTTTTCATCCATTGCTGGTGGGAATAAAAATCTGTGCCATCACTTTCCACCACTTTGGCATTATGTTTTCAAACTAGGTATGTGCACGCCCTACAATCCAACAATTATATTTCTAAATATACACCTCACTCCCTGATTAGTATATGCAAATGGGCAATATGAACACAAATGTTGGGGAAAAACACTATTAATATAGCAAAAGCTGTAAATAATCTAAATACCATACTAGAACAAATGAATCAATGATAACACACTCACATAATAAAATATTATAGAACAATAAAAAATGAATGAATGACAGCCATATATAACAACATGAGTGAATCTTTCTTTTTTCTTTTTTCCCCTTTCCACATTTTTATACTGATGTGTTATAGTTGTTCGGAATGTGGGATTCATTGTTACATATTCATACATGCACACAATATAACAATATAATTTGGCCAATATCACTCCCCAGCACTTCCCACCACTTTGCTCCTCTTACCCCTTGGGCCCCTACTGAGCTCTTTTTGATTTTCATGAGATCCCTGGCCCTCCCCATTTCTTTTTCTTTTTCTAGCATGAATGAGTCTTAATAATAGTGTGTTGAGGCAAAAAAAGTAAAAACCAGGTAACAATATATGGGGKTTTTTAAAAAATAAAATGTAAAATGTAAGTATAACCAGGGACCATATGGCTTAGGCATAATATATGATAAAAAATTTTAAACTGTATAAATGAATAATAAGCACAACATTCAGGACAGCATTTGGTTTTGATATAAGGAATGGGACAGGGAGAAGACATTGATGGTGTTATTTATAATAGATCCAAATCTGTGTGTGTGAATAGCAGTGAGGGAATGGTAAGGGAAAATATGACCAATAATAGGAAAATATCAATAGAATGAAATCTTAGCTTGATGAAATGTTATAAAGCCAGACAAAACAATAGCCATAATGTGTTTAGCTAGACAATGTATCTTGTCATATAGACAAAGGTATGAACTAAAAACTCTTTACCAATCAGATATAAATTGACAATGAAGACATCAGGGACACTTGACAGATTTGCATTTGTGCTACATGGTGCTAATATTAACTTGAGTTGTGTATAATGAACTATACTGAAAATCCTAACTTTACCGACACTAGTTGTTTGTCATTCTTTATTTTTGAGGTTATAGTATAAGAAATACCCATATCTTTTTTTGTTTACCTACAAACTCGGTTTCTAAAGTAAAGCCTGGCACACTAACTATAGATGATCAATAAATAAATGAATGAAAATGTGTTGAGTAGATGGTAAAAATTATGGAGAGAGGGGGAAAAAATTTTATCAGACAATGTTATAGGCAAAAGATGAAGTCCAGGTTAAATTCATGCTGTGATCATACATAAATTATCCCATATTTCAATTATCAATATGTTATTTATCAATGTCTAATGTTTTCCTTTATTTTATTCATTTGATTTTTATTGAAATTATGCTAGAATGTAGTGTACACAAGAACAGAGACCTAAACCTTTTTATCTCCTATTCACTGCAATATCCTAATATTTGTCACAATGACAGGCATTCCGTCAGTGCTCAGTAGACATTTGTTGAATGATTGAAAGGATGAATATAGATGGGCAAAGAGAAAGAAAGCATAGTCATATTCACAGTGAAAATAAATGATCTGTTTAATTGGAAGTTTTGAACATTTTGTTTTCTTTCAATTGTTATTATAATATGTGTGCTAGAAAAAAGAATGAGAGAACTTTGCTATTCTCTACATCAGTCATAAGGTCATCCAAGGTACTTTCTGTCCCAGAAACTAGGAAACTGAAAAAAAAAATGTTGCTTCAAAGTCTTATTTTATAATTTTTACAGTATATTCTTAGTCTTTTTAATAGGTTTCATAATGAAATGAATTACCATGCTCCTTCACATTTTCTGTCCTTTCCCATTTGGAAACTTCATTTATCCTCAGACATCTCTTTATCATTCTTATCATTAAAATGACCCTGGCAATGGTGAAATTCAGGAAGGAACTCTAAAGTCCATCAAAGGATTTGTCTCCAGAGGTGTGGACTTGCATTGTCACTTCGGCAAGAAGATGAGCTTCTTAACTAGTAACCATTTTTTTTTTTATCCATAAACTTAGAGAAAAAATAATCCCCTATAGTAACTTGCTCTATTTATAATAATTCAAAAAACACATTAGGATCCAACAAGTTAAAATTGATTGCTCACTCCCAAACTTGTTTTTGAAACATGTTTCTACTCRTTAGATTGGACTGTAATGTGACATCCAATATTGGATGATGTATTTGGCAAGATTCATGACAAGCATTAGTAATGGGATTTTTCCCCTCCTGGTATGTTTATTTCAATAGATTTGTAAAATGTTTAGAGGCAAAAAGGAATAATAATGGATAGATTTATGGCAAAATAAACCCACTATTAGTGCTTCTAGGCACTTTGCTGTTTGTGAACATGCTTTCTGAGATATTTGGATCCTGCATGGATTTTGTGGTGTTCATACATATTTGAATGTCACTACACTGTTCTGAGCACATTGAATTTATCTACATTTATAAGAATATATTATAATCTATTTTTTTTTTGCTGCCATTCTGTTTATCAACCTAAAGAGGGCTACATTGGGATTCAAGAATCCTGGAATCTAATCCTAGTTCAACTTCCAAGTTTTCTACAAGCTGAAACAAAAAAAAATGCATGTTTTACTTTAACCACCAATAAAATGGGAATGCTCAATCTGACCATCTTAATACCTGAAATGTACAAAGTTAAAAATACCTTAGAACACATACTCATCTTAAGACATATTCAGGTGATCAAGTAATGGAATAGAAATTTGAATCCTAATTACTTTTTTCTTTTGGATTTCCCTTGCCACTCACCTGGTCCAATGGGCTCAAAGTTACTTTGAAATAAGTCTGAATATCTAAGTTAGACAAACAAAGAAATGATGTGAGCCTCCATGGCCCCTTAAGCCTCCAAACCTCCAACTCATCTCATTACCAAAATCAACAAGCTCAAGCTCACACACACATACACACACACAAACACACACACACACACACACACACACACACACACACACCTGGACCCTTGAGATCGCCTCTTACTGGTCTCAAAATGGGATTTTATTCTGTTCTTCCACTATGAATTCCTTATGCCTCAAAATTTATATTCCCTTCATTTTAAATCTTACAAATGTATTTCTTAATCTGTCTCTGGTCCATCTGGTTCTTTTTCAGCTCTTGGTAGTTGAGCCTCATGATTTCATAGCACATCTTGTATTTTTCTTAGGCAGAAGGATGTTGAAAGGCCAAAGTTGAGAGACTGATATCAGTGGCAGGAGCAGACCAGTAAGAGGAGCATATAGCAAAGTTGGGCCTGGCTTCTGTTTTTAGGCTGCATGATAATTCTTACAGTTCTTATGTTCCCTGTGATATTAATTCTTTACACTCATCACTTTTGTTCTCAAATTCTAAAATTTCATGTGCCTTGACTCACATTCTATTTTGCTCACTTCCAAGACACTATTCTCCAATTCTTTCATCTAATTCCTCTTATGTCAGTCTCAAAGATTTATTTTTCTGATTTAAAATTCTATCCTCTGCTAAAATCCCATGGGGGCTCATAGATTTCTCCATTTCTGAGGCATAGCTCCACACTTTGAAGCCTGTGAGTGTCATCTTCTGTTTGTGGTTGGGAAGAGTGTGAGGGCCTTGTCTGTGGACTGGGCRGTCATGACAAGAGTGGACACAGTGGCTAGCATCAGCATATGTATCCTGGTGGCAGGGGTACTGCTTGCTGTCTGTGTGCATATGCCCCTTGAAGAGGAAGGTGGAACAAAATTCCAGCATCCACCAAATCCCTSTACCCAGGTCCTCCATCTCTGGATGTTGTTTGCTCCCTCTTCCATTGTTCTAGAACAAAGTTAATGACTTAAGATAAAGAATGCCTTAAGGAATATTGGACAGCCAAGAAATGTCTCATCAGTAGTCCACTACATGTGTAAAAAGGATGCCAGAATTCCACAAAGTTCAGTTCACATCAAGAACCCTATGAGGGTAGCAGAAATGATCTGTTAAAGAACTGCCAAGCTTTGGCCAGGATTGGGCTTTGATAGGACTCCAAGTAGATTCTCCTACAAAGGGGAAGGATTACTAATGAGTCATAATGTTATTAACAACTGTGAACTGGTCATAAGTGGAAGTCAAGAGTTATGCAATTAAAGGAAAAATACTCTACTATTGAAGTTTATATGACTCTTACCACAGATAAAAAGCACCATCCTTGTTGAACAAACTTTACTGAGTGCTGAATATAAATTGAAGATTCTAACATTACATTCTAGGAAGGCTATATTAATATTAATATATTATTATATGTTATATTACTTGAGAAACTCTAACAACATAGTAATCCTGTGTTCACATTTTGGGGTCATATTGATGATATACAAAACAAGGTTATTGATCAAGCTGGTGTTTACTATACAAATGTCAAAGTGATATTCAGTCATTGACTTGGAGGAAAATGAATGCTCAAAAGACTTAAAGGGTAATTAACTCATGTAGTTAACAAATATGATGGTGCCTTCGGGAACATGGAATATTTCAATCAACTAAAAGACCATCACTAACTAAAAGATGTATGAATGGCAGATAGAGTAACCAATGTTTAATACATTGTGAGAGGTATCTAAATGATGGTTGTGAATGAATTTTCAGAAAAGTATTGTTTTAGTGAGAGATGAATCATTGAAGGTAGCCAACTCTATCTTACAGAGGATTCTATAAACAACATTCTTTAGAAAGACCTATCTCCTGTGGGAACAATCGATACAAGAACTACTCACTTCATCTTGCTGGAAGACTGTTATTTATAATATATTTTTAGTCTTGAAGTTTCTCTTTTACATTACTTAAATACTTTCAGACATGTTGAATCCATCAAATGGAATCTCTTTTTTCTTCACTTCCCTCACCCCATCCCCAGTCTCCACTAAATATTTTTTAATCAGATATAAAATAACAGCTTTTAAAACCAAAATTTTAAAAATAATCCTTTACTTTTCCAAAGGGATTTTGGAGTTCAATGTTATTGTATATCATATTGAGAAGTCTTTTATGCTGGGAAAGTTTGCAGAAGTCTAAAAAGAAGTTTTATGAAATGGTCAAATACTTTGCACAGTTTTAAGTATGGCTATTTTTATAGTTGGGTTGCTTCATGCTGATGATATCAGCATCTCCTGAAATTTCACTACATTAGATTATTTTGTTCAGGGAAAACAAAGGTTGACTGGGAAAGACTGATCAGAAAAAAAAAATGGACTTTGTATTTGTTGAAAAACCTATGTGGTGTCTACATGTTAGTAATTGTTTCAAAATGTTCTATATTGATCCAAAGATAATAAACATGAAGGGGAAGATCTTTTTTGTTTTAAATGGCTATTTCCCTCAAAGAGATAGCATTTATTTTGCTCTTTTTACTTTAGCATAAATTAATCACATCCTTTCTTTCAAAATACTTTGAAGAGGTACTAAATAAAGATCTCAAGCTTTGAAGGTTAGTTAAAGAGACACCAAGTTGAGTCAAAGGTTGTCTGTAAGGGTATCCAGAATGAACTGCCTTCTTCATTATTTTGCCTAAATCTAGGCCTGGGCACAATTGTATTTGAATTAGCTCTTGTTCTTTATCAGTCAATTTCCTGGCTAATTGCTTCATTGTTTAAAATGAACATTATAAAATTCTCATTTCACTATCATCTATAGATCTTGGAGCTCTATCTGGAACCACAAAATAGTCAAGGGCACTTGGAGCAAGTTCAGAGAATTTTATTGAAGAAAGGAGCATGTCCTTGACCTACTCAGACTCAATATAATCGTGTATGACAAATGTCCTGTGAGCAATCCCTGAAAACATTGACATACTTTGGTCATTAGCTGCAGCTATTGTTTGACATAAAGAGAGAAACCAAGAAGTGGTAGGATAAGGTTTTTCAAATGTTTTATTTTTGTTTTGTTTATTTATTTTGGTCTTGACATAGAAGAACACACTTAACTGGGAACAGAATATATGTTAGTGTTTTAAATAAATGAGTATGTTACTACTGATTGTAACTGTATACTACTGTAGTAATTTTATTTTACATTATATTGGAGGCCTGTTATCAAATCCAGGTGTGTACCAAGAAGTAGATCTTTCTTTCCCAGGATAGAGTAATAAACAAAATGAGTTGATAGATCTCTTTCAAAAGCCCTGTGTGCTGAGTTTGCTGCTATCCACTCCAGGGAAAGGTTTGCCTCTGAGGGCCTCAAAGGTACTAACCCACAGCTAAGAATCAAGGCCTGTGACCACATGGGTCTGATCATTCACTGCTGACACAATTCAGTTTGCAGAGTTGAGCAAACATGTTAGCCAGCCCATAAGTCCAAGCTACTTCCTTCCCTCATGCATGTTCTACCAAGGCCTGAAAAGTCCTATTGGCATCTTTTTTTTTTTTTTAAGTAAAGGCCACCATAACATTCCTGGGCTTTTATTAACTCCTATTCTTTTGTCTCATCTATGGGGTAAGCATGAGAATGTGAGAATATATCCTCTGCAGCTGGAGAAACTTCTGCTAGTATTGCTTGCATTCTTCCTGTTTTAAGTGACTACTTTGGTCTATTTGTGTGGCTATAACAGAGTACCACAGGCTAATTTGTAAAGAAGAGCAATGTATTTTCTCATAGTTCTGGAGACCAGGAAGTACAAGATCAAGGCATCAGCATCTGGTGAGGATGTTCTTGTTGTGTCCTTATATGGCAGAAGGTAGAATGGCAAGGCTGAATGCTGCATGAAACTTCTTTTATGAGAGCCTTAATCCCATGTGTGAAGGGAGGAACCCTCCTGGCTTAATCACCTCTTAAAAGTCCCCTCCTCTTAATGCTGTCATATTGGCAACATCTGGATCTTGGAGACTTCAAAGCATAGCAGTGGCCATGATCAAAACCTTCCCAGTTAGAGACATCTGAACCACAATCAATCCCTCAACTCACTTTATTTTGGCTGAATCTAACATATGCTGCAGAACTGTCCAATGATATTGCTTTAAGTAGTTTCAGTATACTTTTTCATAATTATTTTTTTTCAATTAATGGTTAACAAAAGAGAATGGATTGATTACTCATATAGATTGACTCTTCCAAAATCTTCTTCCTTCAGCGGTTTCATGGATACCCAGTGAAACATACAGTTCATCCCCCTCAGGGGCAGGCTCAACTCTTCATGGTGAGTACATGGGAAAGATTTAGGAACATGGAAGGTAGCTGGATTTATCTGAGCACAGGAGGAGAAATAAAAACTGGTAAGAAGCCAATTTCAGGTATTTAAAAGTGCATGTTGGTAATGACAATGACAATGAATAGAACCAAAATTTTTCCCACTCAAAGAAGACAAAAGAGACCTAGTCTTAGATTTTTATCTGTTTTGTTTCCAAATGAAATCTATGCAATACCATTTTTGGCCACTTACATTCATAAAAATGCTTTTAATTTTTTAATATTTCTTGGACAATGGAATTATTAGATAACATAGATTTGTCTAATATAATGTTTGCAAACGAATCTTTATTGACCTTATTAAACACATTGGGGTGGGAAGAATCAGTATTTTGATCGTCTGAATCTGTAACACTGGGAAAATTGGGATAGGACTTCATCTTTCCATGATGCCACTTAATGCTCTTTTGCCATACCTCTTAATTTTTTTTTTTTTTAGAATCTTTAGCAGATAGTGTTTTGTTATTTGAAATGTGAATTTTCTTTCTTTTTTTTAAACCAGTAGGAATTTTACTCATTTGATATCTGTTAGATAAACCCTAGGATCCCAGCCTTGCTGTAAATTGTTTCTTTAAAAACTTTATTGTAATATTTTAGGGACATTCAGGCCACCCAAATTGAGATATTTCCCAATAATACATGAACCCAATCATGATTTTATACCACTTGATCAAGTTGAGGTGACTCTGAGGATCAATTCAGATATTCTCTTTACATCCCTAGATGATGTCTTCACCAGCACCAGCACAACCGGAGAATTTTCAGAAGCCCCCACATCAGCCAATGGATCTACTAACAATAGTCACGTCCATATCACCAGTGAGTTATTTGCCATTTATATTTTTTAACTTTATATTTTGTTCACTAAGCAAATATGTATTGAGTAACTTGCCAGGCACTATGCCAGGTGTTGGGTATACAGTGATGACATTGTCCTCCTAAAGTTTATAATCTATTAGAGATGATACATAGTAAATAGACACATAAGTAAACTTATTTGTGACAAGTCATGCTCCTGGAGCAGTTTGCATCCTGATGTCTCTAGGCACCTGTGAAATGTGCCACACCATTAAGCATTATAGGATTACACGAGCTTCTCAGTGCCTCCTTTGACAGGGCTTCAGTAGATAGAGTAAGCATCAAGACGACCTTGAATCCTTGCATGTATGTTATATGGAGGGGAAAAAACCTTCAACACTGATAACATGTGCTAACATGATAGCGTCCTATGACTGCAATTCAAACTGTATAAACAGAGGAAAGACTTGGTAACTGACTTCATAAGTCCAGGTCTTTGTACTATTTTTTTTGAGACTTTTCTAAATGAAAAGCAGTTATAAAAGTTAGGAAATAAAAGAAATTTTAAATCTGTCTCCACCTGCAAGAAGTTTACCATCTAGTTTAAACAGTAAGAAAAACTAATTCAGATAAACTTTTTGGCCAAATGATCTATGTAATTCAAGTATCTAAAGATCTATCTATAACGTATAAGAAATTTCATTCCTTGTATGTTATTGTTGTTAGAAATATAAAAGCATGAAAATAATTTGACCATCTAACATTAAGAGACTTAAATAAAATAATTAATAAGTTAATAATGTATACATTTATGAGTAAATTCATATTATATTTATTGATTTTATTAAATTTTACTATATTTATGAATAATAAATTGATTAAATGTATAAATAGTGAGTAAATAATAAAATTAAATTGAATAAAGCTATTGGGGAATTAACCTATCATATAATAGAATCAGGTAAATCTCTCTGCACTGCTCTACAAAGGATTCCAAGAATTTTTTTTAAGAAACAGATCAGGGAGAGAATAGTGTGTAAGTATGCCCCCATCTGTAATAAGAAGGATATGTGTTCATGATAYATATATATGCTTAGGTAGTCATAGAAAATTGCTGGCAGGATTCATAGTTAACTATTCACTCATCATCTTTGTGTGACATGGCACAGGCATGCCACCAGAGCATAATCACAGTCAGTGAATACCCCCGTGGTCCTTAGAGGAAAACGTTTTCCAGATAGAAGAGCTAGTGTAGTCCTTTTTTCCCTGAATGCTGAAGTTTGGCATTACAGTTGATCTCTTTTGACACTTTTTTCAGGCATTGTAGTTACTAAGCCCACTGGCGGAATGTCCTGGCCCGTGATTATAGCAGCTCTGCTCTTTTTCTGCATGGCATTGTTTGGTCTTGGAGTGAGAAAATGGTGTCAATACCAAAAAGAAATGTGAGTATAATGCTAAAATACATAGGAATCGGAATTTTTTATTACAAAATATTTATACATACAAGATGTTTGTGCTATGTAGCATTCCGTTCATATCATAATCAGCTAATGGGCTCACAGAAGCTCAGAGAGGCCAGGTAGCTTTGCCAGCACTGCACAGTAGGGACTAAGCACACACTCCTGACTGGGTACCCTTCTCTGTGCTGGCCTGGTCAGACTGTCACACTCATCAGATGAAGCAAGTTAGTGGGCATGAAATGAAAACTGAGCCTCACCTCACCTCAAAACTAAAACTGATTTTTCTATTAATCTTCATTATTTTTTCATTTTCATGCATCTTTGAATCGCCTGGGCCCAGCTGGGCCCAGATGCTCAAGTGTGAAATTGAGTGAGAAAGGTAATTTTAAGAGATTACCAGCTGCTTTTCATCAGAGTGGGCTTTTACTGCTCTTTTTCTTTTTCGCTAAGGAGAAAAGAAAGATGTTTGGGTTTCCCCCTCTTCATCTTATTGAAACATTTTCCAAAATTCTTCTCCACATCACACTCAGAAGTGGCATGAAAGGTTAAGTCCACTTTTCTGACTTTGCTATTTTGGATAAGTCTGGGTTAGTCCACGTCACAGGAGAGCCCCTGACATACAGCTGCTCTTCCACATGCTTGTATGTGTATCTGATAGAACATTCACGGTTGTGCAATACACTTTTCTGCTTTTCTCAGAGCAACCTTGAAGTCTGTAACCAATGTAGGGAGTGTTTCACAGCAAATAAAACATGATACTAGTGGTTAGAATTTCTGGGTTCTTATCCAAGGACTACATCTTGGCCACTCCATGACCTTCAGGAATCCATCATTCCTCTGAACAAAAGCAAAAGGACAAGTTTCTTAGAATTGCATCCACTTTCTAATATATTTTAAGTCTCTGTTAAAGCATCCAAAAGGATTAGAAGATCTTTATATTAAAATGATCAAATGGGAATTTGAAAATCTAAATGATAAGCATCTCATTCTCTTTCTGTCTCTGTGTGTGTGTGTATGTGTGTGTGTGTGTGTGTGTGTGTGTGTGTGTGTGTGTCTTTCCCCAAATTTAGATACTATAGATTTCCAGGGTTGGGAAGTTGTTTGAATCATGAACATAAAATGCTCACACATGTATTTCCTTTTCCTGTCATCCTGTCATTGGGGCATTTGTACATTAACCTGGATGCTTGATGCATTTCAGACAGAGATGAATTGAAGGACAAAATAGTGATTTGTACAAAGACAATGTTAAGAATGTTCACTGATTCAAGCAAAAGGGACTTGAGCATTATCCAGCCAGCACAACAACTCAAGGATTCAGAAGAGTTTTACTTTCCACCTCTAAAGGATCTGCACAGTTCATATCAGTGTGTATACAGGATGGGGGTGGGGTCAGCAAAAGGGCTATTTGACAACTTCAGTCTCAAGTCCCTGAATTTTAAAATTTTGTTTCTGGAGGAATGTTCAACCCATGTAAGAGAAAATTTTCCCCTATTAAGAGGTAGTTTTGTGAGGAAAATGGGTTTTAGTTCTAAGACCTCAGTTGAGCAAATTTCTAAAAACTGTTAAGCCTCAGTTTTATCAATAGAGAGATGAAAAAAAAAAAAGCTTAATTCCTAATGCAAAATAAATGATGTTAAGATAAAAAACATGCCTTGCAAACTATAAAATGCCATATAAATATTAATTAATGGTATGAACATGGTTTTCAAGTGCCTGATAGAATTCACAAGCATAGGGTTAAACCAACAAAAATTCTGAGAAAACTAAGATGATATTTCTTTTTAAATCAGTTGGTCTTCTGATTAAAAAACAAAAACAAAAACAAAAAACACCTCACATTCTTAGCACTGAAAGAACAATGTTTTGTTCCTAGCATGGAAAGACCCCCACCTTTCAAGCCACCACCACCTCCCATCAAGTACACATGCATTCAAGAGCCCATTGGAAGTGACCTGCCTTGTCATGAGATGGAGACACTCTAATCCTTTGTGACTTTGCCATACAGCAGAACTCTGCTGGGATCCTATTGAAAAGGTAGATACTGTTCTCCATTAATATAATCGCCCTCCAGCCAAAACTCTGCTGCAGCTGAAATGGATGTTAGAAGCAAATATTCTGTTTTCCYAGCAACTTGCCCTGGGCGTATGCCTGAAATTTAGACAAGAGTGAAAGGATAAGGCCACATTCACACCCAGTGCAAGTTGTAGGGATTTTCTTGCTTATGTAAGAGATATGCATCAGGCTACTGTCATTAAAAAGTAAGTACAGTGTTTTCATTTTTTATTTTAACTCTGAGAGGCCAACAGTGATCTCAAGCATATACTCATAGCAGATTCCCTYCTTCTGGAAATCTTCCAACATCCCAAACTCTCTGCCAAAAGCATGTTGATCTCTGACTTTTGTTGTATTCCCTAAGAAAATTTCAAGAATAAAATATGAAAGTTCCTGCACTCCAAAGGATGAGGAGGTGCAGTTAGTCTTCAGACTGAAATTCCATTGTTAATTTTCACTGAAGGAAAACAAAATAGCCTGCTCAAGAATCTGTCTCACCCTTCTTCTCATCATGTTTTGCCCAGGCTCCTGCCACATGGATCAGGATAGGGCAGAGGGGTTGGAGAGAAAGGGAAGGGGCATGGGATTATAAATGATGGTGATGGACATTATTATCCAAAGTACTTATATGAAGACACAAGTTGGTGTGAATATACTTTACACACAAACAGAGATTTGAAAAATTGTGCTCTATATGTGTAATAATAATTGTAATGCATTCCGCTGTCATATATAAATTAAAAAATTAAAAAACAAAAGTGAAAACAGCTAGGGATGTAGTTCAGTGGTAAAGTTTTCCTGGGTTCAATCCCCATACCAAAAAAGGAAAAAGAAAAAGAATTCATTAATAAATTGAGAGAAARCCTAAAAAAAAAAAAAATGGTTTCCATTGTCAGTTTGCCTGTGTGTGTGTGTGTGTCAAACTGCCACCAAACTGTTGCACAAGTAAACAGGCAATCAAGCCCTAATCTAACTCATCTAATTCCCATTATTCTCTTTTTCATCTGGGGACTTTCCTGTTCATCCAACCTGCCTATTTTGATCTGTCTTGAAATAGATAACAGCCTCAAGTCAGACYAGCACTTATCAATTAAGCCCACTTCTACCAATCTTTTACAAAATAATTCAAGCAGAAGGTAGAGGTRGTGGAAAAGAAATCTAATTAGCCAGACGTGCTCTGTGTTCAGCAACAGTTTGCAAGTGAATAAATTACTGATCCCTCTTGTCCCTCTAAAACCTCCCCCACTTCTTGCCCCAGGAGGGAAGAACAGATGTTGTTGACAGTTACAGTGATAGGCAAATTCTAGGTGGACTTTCGTCCCCAAAGGAACCTTTCTTGTTCATTTGCAGTATTCTTATCCCTGACTGCACAGGAAGATAATTTAAGATTTGGCTTTTTTCTTTTCTTTTTTTTTTTTTAATTTGTATTTTTTTTTTTACTACCATGGGTATCCCACTCCTAATCAATTAATTAGTGTCTCTGAAGAGCAGGGTACAGGCATCAAGCACTCTTAGATGATAAACATGTTCAGCCAAAATTGAGGACTGCTGAGCCCAGGGAYATCCCTGCTCATTGATTAGAATCTTAGATACTTGGCCAACCTCCAAGATGACCTCCAGAGATTATTGCTCTTTGCTATCCATACCCTGTACAATCCCCTGATCACTGATTACAACTGACTTGTGTAAAACAGGACCAGGATTCGTATAAAGCAAGTGGGGCATCAAGGGTACACAATTGAAAGAGATATTCACACTGAAGGTCATGCACTTGTACAATCACTTGTACAGCGATTGCCCAGCCTGGCTCTGGTATAACAAATAAAGTACTGCAGGAAAGGCCAGAGYGTGACTTCCAAGGTTAGGTCATAAAGTGTACAGAAGTTCCCACCTCGATCTCTCTTTTGGCCACTGGATCTGGAGGAAGCCCTTTCCATGCTATAATGTCATGCAAGCAGCCCTATTGAGGTCCATCTGTGGAGGAAGTGGGACCTCTTACCAACAACAAGCGTGGACATGCCAGCCATGGAAATGAGCCACCTTGGAAGCTCCTCCTCTCACATTTTCAGTTAACTGCAATTTCACATGATCTCTCRTCTGTGAACTCATGAGAGGAAGAACCATTCATCCAAATTTACTTTTTTCCCCTTAAATTTCTGACTCATACAAACTATGAGAGAATAAATGCTTGTTCAACATGACCAAGTCTGGATGTAATTTGTTACTTAGCAATGGATAACTAACACCTCTCAATTAATGGAAAAATAAACTGATGTTTGCTTGCATTAGCTATCCTCAATTCCCCATTTGTTCTCAAGTAACAAACATTTGCTTCATAAGTATAGCCATTGATTCATGTGTATAGTTATTTTTATTTAGTACAACTTAGTCATTAATAATTTGAGTAAATGTTCATGTGATTTTACTTTATTGTTCCATTAGGGAACAAGTAGAATGAATGTAAGTAAGAAGGAWAAAAAGTGGCAGAGTTGGGGATATATGAATTGTTTCACTAAAGAGAGAGATAGTTTTATGTTACAACATAGGTCCCTGTAATTTTTTCAATCATATGACAAGTGTCTCAGAGTGGTTTTTTGTTTGTGTGCTTGTTTTGAGGGGGTACCAGGGATTGAATTCAGACGCACTCAACCACTGAGCCACATCCACAGCCCTATTTTGTATTTTGTTTAGAGACAGGATCTCAATAAGTTGCTTAATGCCTCTCTTTTGTTGAGGCTGGATTTGAACTCATGACCCTCCTGTCTCAGCCTCCCAAGCTGTTGGGATTAGTCTTCAGACTGAAATTCCATTGTTTATTTTCAATGATGGAAAATGCCACTGCACCTGGCTTCACAGTGTTTTTACATTAGATTTTTTTTTGTTTTTGTTTTTTTTTGCACTGGGGATTGAATCCAGGAGCATTCTACCATGGAGCTACATCTCTAGTCCTTTCTTTTGATATATTTTTTTTTTAATTTTGCGACAGGGTCTCACTAAGTTCCGTAACCAGAAACTTGTGTGATCCTTCTGCCTYAGCCTCCTGAGTCACTACAGAAATGTGTCCCTACTCCTGGCCTAGATCTTCTTCAAAGTACCATATTTGGTCTCATTTGCTCTCATAAATAAGTTCTGATCAGCACTTAYAAATTCATCTACCATTCATATAAATTAAGAAATTGCTTTTCCATGGAGGGATGCTCAGTCCACAGTTCAGAGGAACTTCCATAAACCTGCAAAACAGAGAGGTTTCTGACGCTGTTTAGGTAGTACTGCGAACTTGACATCCTTCATTTGACCAAAATGACCAAATCAAGTTCTCCTTAAATCGTGCACAAATAAATGTATATAGCCTGCCATAAACCTGCAGCTCCTGTCTTTAGAAGTAGACATAGTAATATGCCACAGGAGAAGCAACCACACTAGACTCCAATCCCTCAAATGCCTGCATGTCTTTATTGCCACCTTTGTTTTCCCTGAGAAGCCGTATGTAAGTTTTCCATCACTCATTTCCAAAACACTGTGCTACACCACATTGTTATTCAGAAATAACAATTTTCTTTTCCCTCTTTCTCCAAGAGCCTACCTTGACTTTGGGTTTGGCTATGAAACTTGTTTTGAGCAATGGAATACCAAGGGCATGACTAAACCAAGTCTGAAAAAAGTGCTTTATGAGTGGACTTACTCTCTAGTTCTCTGCCATTGCCATGAGAAGATTTTCAGGTGAACACACTAGTACCCCCAAAAAAGGAGAGAGACTCATGAAATAGGGCAGACCACTCAAAAGCCAAAATCAGTTTASATCAGCCAGCCCCAGTCTATCTACCTCAATAGGTGCATATGTTAAATACACTATATTATGGGCATTCTGTACAGCACTATTGAGACAATGGTTAGTTGGTACACATAGATCCAGAGGAAGGCATATTTTACTCATGTGTAAACACCTATGTTAAAGGATAAAGGTGAGCTTTAGTTAAAAAAAAAAAAAGAAAGAAAAAAACGGCTTTTCTTTAATACAGCAAGAGTTTTAACTGAAGAAAATATAGTTGGATTCACTAAATTAATTTTGTGTTATAGGTCTTTAAAATTATAGAACATTTGGTCAAGCTAGATCTTACAAATAAGCAGTGAAAGCCTCTATGTAATTGACTTACCCAAGGTCATGATTGGAAGTCATAAAACTACAATAATGACCCAGGTTCTGCCTCCCATCTAGGATGTGATCAATTTGAAATTGCTTTGGTTATCTCCTTGTACCTACAGACGAGAACTGTTTTGTGTGCATTAAAGTAAATATTGATTTTTTTTAAAAAATCCAGGTAATAAATTCCAAAAATTGTGAAAGGAAACAAAACAAAAAAAAAAGTAGAAATAATTGATCCCTGGGGGTGGATGGCCTAGAAAATATGAAAAAAATAACTAGGAAATGAAAAGAGAAAAGAAAGTAATCAAAATCAGAAGTTGAAAAGAAAGTTTAGAGAAACTTTCCAACACCAGATGTTTCCCAGAAGTCCCCAGTAAAGAAAGAGGCTCAGTAGAGAAACTGTGTTCTGAGATGAGAGCTGAAACACGCAGTGTAACTGAGTTCTTAAGAGTAGCAATCTTGGCTATGCCAACCAGCTAAGGTTGAAAGTCCAGCACAGACAACGAAAGCAAACACCATGGGAGAAAAATACATTAACTGGCAGAAAAGGGCCATTATTCTAGCCAAAAGTACATGGTGAGATGGTGGAAGCCRTGAAGTTTATTGCCCGGCTCCTTCAAAGAAAGAGCTTTCTTCTTAGATTCTATGATCATTAACAAGGGTCCCAGCTGCRTCCAGAAGAAAAGACCAGAATCCAGAAGAATGTGACCTTGGGCAAGAATAGGGTCAGGGGACAGTTTTGGAATTAATCTTTAACCCCATCTGGTGCAACTTTGATGGGTCTTG